TTTTCCCAATTTTTCACCCATAAAAATCTGGCTACGTCTCGGTCTTGTTTCCGGAGTGAGATTTTTAGATACGATTTTTTAACATTTGCGATAACAATATTACAATAATACCTTGCTCTCAACTGGATCCCGGCTGAAGGAGGGAGGATGACAGGCCTCCGGTGTAGCGCCTCTTCAAAGCTCAGGAACTCCTCGTTGCTTTTTGCTGACGCATCATAAACGATTCTTAATTCCGATGTAGTTTTATTTAAAGTAATGACTACCTGACAAGACAAATATTGTATTCTCCCGAGTGTTTTTGATATTTCAACCGTTTCGATGATTCCCTTTTGTTGTTGGTTTTGGATGATACCGTCGTAATGCTGTAGGAGTTGCATGTTTTTAGAGAGTCTTTTCCAGAGTTGCTTCGATTATTCCATGCACGGTCAGTAGTTGTCTGTGAGTCGCGTTTCTATAAATTTCAACGGTCAACTCACTTTGTACCTTCTATCTTTTATGCTTACTGTTTTTTAAAATGATTTGAGTGCTGATTGTCATCCTTCTCCCATGGCGAGTCTGTAATCCCCATACTTTCTAATTCCAAGATGCATTTACAGATATTTCCGAAAGTGCTGTTAGCACGCTAATTATCAGCACCTCGGTGTTTGCCATAGTGAATTGATTTGCCTTTATCATTGGAAAGTCGGCATTTAAATTTTCCTTTCCACTTATGAATGTGCCAAAAGTGCTTTCTATTTTGTAATGTCCGTCAAATAGCGGAGTCATTTTAAATTCTTTGAGAAAATTTCAGAATTAATCCGAACTGATTGAAAGATTGATTCGCCTTCACTCTTCTATTAAACCTCTGCTTTTACCATTATTTTTCTTTTTAATGATAGTGTAATACTTGTTATTCAATTTACCTGTAAGTGTTTGGCTTTTTTTTGCCTTTAATTTTGATCTTGTAGACAGAGGAGGGGATTAATTCTGGTCTAGCTTTCTCGAAAGTGTATAGATTTAGCGTTCCAGTCATGTTAGAAGTAAGCTCCACACTCTTAGCTACCCGGTGGTAAAAAATTTCTCACTTTAGTATCCAATAACAAAGACATCGTTTCTCCAGGTCGGTCTGGGTCTTTAGGGTTATTCAGTTTGATTTTTGTGACAAATAACAAAGTAGCCTTCAGTTCCTTATTTAGAATAGCATAATATGTAATAGCATCTTAGTGTGCGGGTTGAGTTTCCAAACTTAACATTTTGCCTGATGGTGAAATCGTAGCTGTCAGCGCAATGTTGTTCTTTTTGCTTGTGCTTCCGTTACCGATTTCTTCCTTATTTTCCTTTGTTTTGAACTGAATCGTACACATAACCTTATGGTGGTTGAGACTATCACAATGACTATCATAGACTATCACAAGCGCATGGCCTTTCAAATTTACATTCTTTTCGTTGATGTCCTTTTCTTAGACATCTATAGCATAGACTTAGTTCTCCTATTCGCTTTGGTCTGTTTTTCAGAAACGGATAATTTTTACATCCATCATAAAATTGTGATCGTTCGCAAAAGAAACACGATTTTTTAGATGTAGAAAAACCTTTAGTGCGAGAAGAGATTAGTGCTGTTAATAAAGACCTCTGTATTTGTACTTCGATACGTGAACGCCTAGTTCTTCCTGTTTTGGTTCCTTGTCTGTCTCGTTTTATTCTAACTTCCTGCTTGTGGACTACATCTTCGAATCTCTCTTGGTCTGTGATCTGAAAATCGGTTTTTCTAAGAAGTTTGGGGATAATCTATTTCTTTCTAATGTCTTCTCCTTTTTTTTTATTTTGATCATGAAGTAAATCGGAAATTCTCTTCAATTTCCAAAATGATCATACCTTGATCGACATTTTCCTTTTACGTTTTCAATTGTCGCACCAATCTGTCGATCTCGACGAATATCTTTTTAAATTTTGAGGTGCTATTACTAGATTTTGGAATAGCCTTGAGCTGAACGCAGAGTGACTTCTTTATTACAGTCGAGTCACCAAATCTCTTCTCCTAAATTGCCTCAGCTTTATTATAGTTTCTCTCAATCATCCGTAATTTGGCCACCGCCTTGTGTGCGTCTCCGACAGTCCATTGAATAACTCAGTTTCTGTTCCAGTGATAGGTACTGTTGATTCACAGCTGCCTTAAAGGCATTTTAAAAGCTCTCTCAATCCAAAAAATCTCCTCTATACGTTGGCAGCGTGATTTTGGGAAGTCTAGTATTCTCCCAAAGATTCCGCCATTGTTGATTTTCTTGCTTCTCATTTGATCTTCTTCGAGTCTCAGCGCCCTGCTTATTTTCCTGGGAGCATCTATAGCGTTAGTTACAGCTGTTATATAATCGTTTTCTTCTAAGGCATAGTGTTTGTAGTCTTCTTTTGCTAGTATTCTTTCTTCGCCTGTTAAATCCTGAAGTAGTTTTTTACATTCTTGGTCTTTCCTCTCCAACTTAGAAACTTCATTTTTGATCTGATCTTTAAATATTTGCAGTTTTGAGGTTAGTTCTTCACTTCCAAGCTCTTCTTCTCCCTTCAAAGCGTCGTAGCATCCTTTCAAATCCTCACTCAACATGTATGCGAACCTTTTAAACCAAATTTTGAGAACTCTAGCCACTTCTTACCCTGGGCATCAAAAATGTCGTAACTTTTCAGTTTTCCCCTTCGCTTTTGAATTTGGAGCCTTTCAGTCTCAACACCTTAGTTTCACGGTACTAATGTGCGAGTCTTTTAATGGATTGAGCCAAAAGTACTTATTCTTGTTTTTATTGAGAAGAAATTAGAAATATAGTGTACAACGACGTATGAAAGGGAAGTGAATTTACAATATGCCTTTAATAATAACAAGATTGAAAGAAGACAGGGACTCTGCAAGAAGTCAGTCATACACACCATTTAATGAACAAAACAACAGGAGCAGTTGTCTGTTTTATCGACAACCGAAAACACACGAAACCTTCAATTTTTTGTTCCCTCCCCTCCTGTTGCCGCAGGCGAAGTGCGCGACGATGAGTTGACGTGATCAGGGTACCTTAAGGCAACGTTGCCTAAAGGCCGGGCGACAGTTGACACATGGATAGATCGGTTGTCTACTAACAGTATAAATGTGTGTTTTTAAATTAGTGTTTAGCGACGGACGAGCCGAATGGGCCTGAAGCTTCGACCGACGACTTGATTCCTAGTTCTTATTATTGTTTTTCCGTTTCTTACTTGTTGCAGTTATTATGAACAACTCAAGTTAATTATTACTAACACGTAGTAGCGACGTGTTTTTTAAAATAAAGGTTTAATTACCCAAGTTTGAGGTTTCGACAACCACTGAACTATGGAGGCACGAGGAAACAATCATTTGTTTTTACACCCTCTCACCCCTGCAGTGGAACTCTTAATCCTCTTAGTAACTCAATCTGAGTCAATTTTAGGCTTAACTAGACCTCTCTTGTTATGGTAATTTCTCTCTTATCGAGTAACCGTAATCTCTTCTGTTCTACAGAGTTGTCTTTTTTTGAGCTGTTTGTAACTTAACCTATTATCCTTGACGCTAGGTAACTTATAGTTTTAGTGACTCTTGATAAAAGACTTTATCTAATTAAACACGAATTTATATGATTATTGCCAGTATATACAGAAAATTTGAAGGTGGGGGGGGGGGTGTGTCACGGAAAGCGAGACAAGTTCCTTGAGGGAGAGTAGAAACTCATAGGCGGCCTCGTGATCTGTGTGATCTTATATGTAGTTGACCTATAAAGGGGATTGTCATTGTTGTTGTAAGATTGTATTGCAGGCGTTTATGCAATTTTGTATAGTACCGAAAGAGCAGTTTCAGTAGCTCTATAGGTTTTAGTTGTCTATTATGGATTGACTTCTTCTTCCTTTGAAGGTTCGTTTGTATTAGTATTTGTACTGCTTGGTAAAGTTTCGTTCCCGGATTTGTTGAATTCGTGACATTTTAGTTAGAATTCCAATGTGTTGGGTATTGGAATTATTGTCATTTCTTTTCGTATATAGACCGATTGGCAGGATTGCGTCCAGTCGGATTCATTGTCTGTTAGAATTCCAATAAGTTCAATGTTGGAATAAATTCGTTATCTTTTTGACAGTCTTCGAAACTTCTGCCAGCAGGTAACCGTTTTTTCTGGTTCTATATTCGATTGATTCAAACTACCTGTACTACTTCTT